ATGATTGTAGTTGAAATCGTCGTAGTTGGAATAACTGTGGTTGAAATGGCCGTAGTTGGATTGGTTGTTGTTGGAATGATTGTGGTGGAAATCGTTGTGGTTGGAATGATTGTGGTTGAAATCGTCGTGGTTATAGTTGTGATTGTAGAGTCTTTAAATAGTTATAAAAATACATATCCATTAATACTAAGAAAGATTGCAGAGATTCAAGCGTATATTGAGGTCACCAAAGCAGAAGGCGCAGACTTTTTCATTCAAAAGATAAATATCAGGGGAGTGCGTGTTCAGTGAGTTCAAGCCTATAATCCGGGTCGAGTTCAGTCTTTTCGAGAGCAAATGATCTAGATTTGGTATATGTTTTCTGGTACTTAAAGGTTATTTAAATGGTCCATGTCTGCTGGTAACATTTTATTAGAATAGTAGAGTTTCCTATGTGAAGGAACCATTTTTCTCTCGTCAAGAAGTAGCGAGTCGCAAGTCTTCTACGACGATCTATATTCGAATTAGGATCTACTTTATCTCCAGGCGATATTATTATTAATTACTCACATATAGTAATGATATTTCACGTAAATATAGAGAACTCTCTTTATCAACAGTATATTAATATGATACCGTCACAACCGACTAGCATATGCAAGATTTGACTAAGCGTAGATATAATTAAGTCATCTAAAATTGAGCCTGTTTTCAACTTCCATAAAAAATTCTCTGATATTCTATATCTAGATGCGGAACAACCAACAGCTAAAACCATCACTTTTAGATTTGGTTACTTCTGATACTCATGATTTAGGGTATTACAAACCCTCCAACATATTACTAACTTGGCTTTTTTGTTGTTGTTGTTGTTGTTGTTGTATGTTTTTTCGTGGTCGTTGTTGTATGTTTTTTAGTGGTCGTTGTAGTGTGTTTTTTCGTTGTCGTTGTTGTTCTTTTTTTCGTTGTGGTTGTTGTTGTTGTTGTTGACATTGTCGATCCTATATGAAATAAGAAGATTGAATGAGATTTTCTTCATGATTTATCGTTTCTCTATCGGTTAGTAATACATCCAGTTTTGGAACTAATAAGATAAGCTGAAAGTATATAGAGTTATCTAGCTACTACTATGGATATTTTTGAAGTCATAGATAATTAATACTAATGATGGAATAAATAGTTTAGGTTTTGAATCAAGTAGTGAAAATCAAAGGCACATACGGTTTCAACAAAATTTATTTATATAACTTATTGAGCGTATTCAACATTTTTTATAGTCAGTCTATGATTTTTAGTCCAAGGCATTGGTGCAGTTTTTGCTCAAGATTTAGTTCCCTATTGAATGGTATATCAATCGACTTTGCAACCATGTGTATATTTTACAAGGAAGGAGATGTGCGACTCCTACAATATCTATTTTGCTAGTAGTTGATTGAACTCGGAATATGACACGGTTTTACGAATGGTACTTCTTAGAAATTTATTTTCTAAATATTTGTTCTCTAAACATTTTCGTCCTAAGGACTAGTGGTCAATGAATGAACAAAAAAGACATTAATAATGTTTTCCAGTAGGGTTTATTTTATAGAAATGAATATAGAATTAAATGTCCTATCAAATAAGATCAATGTGAAATAAAATCAGTATTCCTATACGAAGTTATTAGTTAGAAAGCTCATTATTAAAAATGATCAGATGGATAATGACAATGTTTTGAGTCTTTATTCTCAAGAACAGAAATTATAGAAAACATCCTGAGTTTCATTTTCACTCACCAATTGTACACGTTGTACCACTCCAACCGACCGCACATATACAGTTACCAGGAGCTGTACACGTACCACCGTTTTGACAGCCATTTGTGCATATAGCTTGAAGAAAAAACAGAAATTATTAGAATCATCTAAAATCCTAATTAACGTTACCAATTGTACACGTATCACCACTCCATCCTGTAGTACATGCACAAGTTGTGGGACCTGTGCATTGACCACCATTTTGACAAACAATTGAACACGGTTCTGAAAAAGAATACAATATAGATATTTTCCCAAGTTTCATAATTTGTAGATATAACAAATAAGTTGGGCATAAAAGATTCATCCGAATGATATTTTTGAGTTGATATTTAAATTTTTAAAATCAAGTTCTGTCTCACAAGAGTTAGCACAATGCCAAACTTCAATTTTTCAGATTTTGGTTTTGGTGCTGTAATACGTCTAAGAACACTCGACTTAAAATGAACCTTCATCTTTAAATACCTTTCATTGTTTGTCAATCTAAGTTCTAGTTTGAATACCGATGCATCCGTGCTCCTAGATAAATGATAAAAGAAAAAGTCTACTCACGGATAACAACACCACTAGGACTATTTTGATTGTTATTATTGCCATTAGGATAAGATTGAACGTGACAAAGATCTACAGATAAGGTACTTCCATCGTCTGCCGTAATATTGACACTGGACTGAGTATTGAATTTTTCATGGATACTGGTAAACAGACTGATTTGGCAGGCCAGCGTTTGACATGGTAAATTTCGTGGATAATCCAATGCAACGTCAAAGACAATAGCAACACCTGAACGATCTGTCTTATCGCATTGAAAACTATATGTAAAGTTATAGATAAATATGACTCACAGAAAATAAATAAAAATAAAATTACTCGCGGCGGCGGCGGCGGCGTCGGCCATTAGCACCGGTTGCTTCTGTACTGCTGATGCTCTTAACTCCAATGGAACCGTTGGGAGCACTGATTGCTTGTTGTAACTAAAATATAATACACATTATGAGCTAACGTAAAAGACGAAAATTACGCAATTGGCTGTTGTCTGACTGTTTGTGACCGACAGTGAGGCACGCTTTTTTACTAATCCAGATGGCAACATGTAAGAGACACTTAGTGCAGTAAGTGATTGTTCTAATAAAGATAACATATGTGTATATAATAAAAACAATAAGTGAATACTAACTAGTGATTGCCGTTTTGCTGGCAATATTGAAAAATGGTGCCGATAAATATGCAGGAATGAGGGAAAAACAAACCGTGCATGCGATCACCAAAAATGACAGTACGAAAAGATGGCATTTAGAAGATCTATATAAGAAGTAAAAGAGAAAAAAATCTATCAGAAACATTCATAACTTACCTTTCATAACGTGGTAACTTCACATGTGCCATATTTTTCAAACTCGTTGTAAGATTGTTGCTTTGAAATCAACAAAAATCTGAAATGGATTTCTATATGAAACGTGAGTGGCGAGAAAAAGTTAACTGGAGATTTTGAGTTTACAAGTTTCTAGTTATTACCAAAAATCTAGCTAACGTCTATCATTGCCCTTTTTCGGACTATGCAAATAAAGATCTTCAAATATATCTACGAAAAGTTAGTAACGAGTTGCGATTCACTGGACACCTAAGATTTCTGAACTTCATATGATGAGAATATTGTTTTTAAGTAAATCAAGTTAACATATCAAAATTATAAATATGATATAATGAATGTATCATTATATTGGAAATAATACAAGATAAGTTGTGAAAGTATATGATATGTTTCAGATTTTGGTATAGGCTCTTTCTAATACTTTGTAGGATACAGTCAGAGTGAAGTACGAAATCTAAAAACCATGGTTCGCTTTTAATAGATTTAAAATATATTAGATACTATCATTTGATATACGTAATGATTTAGAAAAATCCCAATAGTTATTTATATATCTATAGTATTTCTAAATAAAGCAACAATTCTCAATACGAATGATATCGTTTGTATGGTATAAACTAAATACAAATAGTATAGAATTAATTACCTTGAAATAATATCTAAAGACGCTAGAAATCAGAGAGGAATAATCGAATATACGTGTTGTGAATATAAATGAAAACAAATAATTAAACGAATATGTAAAGAGCATACACTTTTATATTCTCCTTTTTATACGCTTCAGTGATGTATAAACGATTGCTTTCATTTTTTCTGCTTGTATTTTATCTCATTAAAATAACAAGCAAGCAATTAGGCAGATGCGTCAATACATATTTTTGTTTTTATTCATGTATGTAACGCTAATTGCTTATAATTGTTGTAGATAGGGAAAAAAATAAATGTAAGTAATTGATCATTTTGTCTTACAGAAATAAAATATAATTGATTATTTATCTTACCTGAATAAAATATACGTAGGTAGTCATATTCAAAAGCTTAGTGTTGGACGATGTTTTTCTTCTCATTTTATATATAATTATTGTGTGTCATGTTTATGAAAATTTTCAAAAATATTTATTCGTTAACAGACAAAAATGAATATTTTGAAAGAGTTATTTCGTATGACACTTTTAAGACTGATATTGCCCAGATTTAGAAATTATTATATATAAAAGACAGGCTAATTGGTGAAATTTTTGTCTTCTTTTAGAACTGTGCTCTTTGTTGGACTTTAAGAGAGAGTATATGAGGGAAGAATTACTCATTTTCAGAAAAAATAAGACGATGATGCCACGATCGAAATTATCTCGGATAAAAAACAAAATTTCATCGTTAGTGCAGAATTATGTAACATTTTCAGTATTTTATCAGTGTACAAACGAAGGTTTTTGTTTTAATGTAACTTACACATTGATACATATATTACATATTATGTGATGTATTTACCATCGCAAAATCATGTATATTATTGATGTAATATGATTGCAGTATGCAAACAGTGAAAAAAATGGCACGGAGAAGAATATGAAACTTATAAAGCATAAATGAAAACGAACAGAACAAAACAAAACATAAATAAATGTTTTTAATGACCATATGCGCTGCATATTCTATCACTCATGTTAAGAAAAGAATGCACATGATTGATTATTTTAGAATTTTTCAAAAGAATATTTTCTTATGCATCAACTATAGTTCTTATCTTATATAACCATTAATAATAATGATAATAAATATTAATTCATATTAGTTAATGTTTTTTTTATAAAAGAAAATTGTTGTAAAGTTATTTTGAATATATATATTATTTTAAAAGAAATTTATGTTTAGATAACTATTTAAATGAAATTTAAAATATATTCTGATAATTCAAAGACCTAAAAATAATTCAACAATTATATTTATTTTCCACTATCACATCTATTTTTATTGATAAAATATATCGTACATTCAAAAGGAAAAAGATTTTTATAAATTGAGTTTATTCAAATATTTGAGATGTAGTTGTGGGTGTGAGATAACATAATAGGCACCCACACCCACTGGATCGACTTCTTTCTTAAAGTCTTCTTTGTATTGGTCGTGATAATCTACTCGTGTTCTTTTTATAATAATTATTTTGATAGTACGGTCGTTGAAAATTATCATTTCGACGATAACAATTATTTTTATTATTGGTAGTAGTATTATATCTATATTAATATTGATTATTACTATAGTAATTATCCCCGTAGACACCACGACGACGATGATATTGATTGTTCATCAATCCTTGTACTGATGGTTGATTATAATTCATTTTGATATTAATCGTTTGTATAAGTTGAGACAAAAATGATCAAATTAAAAGAGTATAATTCAAATAATTTGATAAGTAAAATAATATATATCCAAATTTATTAAAAAATTATACGGCCGGTCAAAAAACAATTTACGTCAAGATACTCTACTATGTATGTGAGCTCGCGCTGGCAAGTCTGAGAGAATCTGCACTTGAATGTGTATTTATTTTGATAAGAAGAAAAGAAACTGTTTCAAAAGAAAAAAGAAAAAACACGAACATACATCGTCCGTATCAAGTACAAAACAACGAAAAAGAAAAAGGAAAAAGAAAAGAAATGACATGAAAGAATGTTATCTGTAATAACATTCTTTCAAATGAAATAAAGAATAAAGAAGAAGAAGCGAGAACAATGTGATCGCTAACAATATACATTAGACGTAGTCGATCTATATACAATGATACTACAAGCTGCAGGAATATTATCAATCAGGAAAATACTAGATTGTCTTCATGTTAAACAAATCGATGGATTAAAAATTAAAATAATTATTAGAGTAAGTCGATTTGTAATGCAGAATAATTATTTTCACTACAACAATCAATTTTATCATTAAATACGAGATGATGCAATGGATTCGCCATTAACTTTGACAATGGCCAATTGTTATATGTTTTCCTATGAAAGAAATATTGTTAAACAAATAATACAATAGCCTTTACTTAAGATATATCGATGATATATTTGTGATTATCAATTGGCCTAATCAACATCTTTCAAAGCAAGTGAATCGACGGAACAAATTTGATACAAATATTAAGTTAAACTGTCAAGCTGGTGATGATATAAATTATCCTGATCTATATATAAAAAATGTCAATTAGTGAATTATTGACTAAAGTTCATTATATACCACATTACTTACCCTTCAACAGCGGTTATCCGATGCATATAAAAAAGAATATTCCATTTACCGTGATAGTTCGTGCAATGGAATTTTGTTCAATATTTGACACATATTTATATGAACGTGAAAATTTAAGAGTGGCTCTATTGTTAAATAAATATCCTGGTGAATTTATAGATAAACAAATTAATCAAATGTTAACTACAAATAATTACGGAATAATTAGGGAGGAAATTCTTAATAATCCTTGTCAAGAAAAAGTACCGATTGATTATTGTGGAACAATGTTTGTTCATTTTGCCTTTTATTCAAATATAAATACTTCCCAGGACGATGATTCCTGAAGCAGGATTCCATGAATTTCCGGTAAAATCCCTGAGGAAACCTGCCATTTCTGGGCGGAACCCATCCGGAAAATGTCAGGAATTCGATGGAGAAGTGAGGTAACCGTATCCGGCTGCCGGTTTTGACATGTTCCTGTCGGTTGTGGTCCAAACCAGATAAATCCGGCTACTGAATCCGTTCAACGGGAATACTGCTTTCATGAAATCTCTGGAATACCACGGAACCGGTCGTTTCCGTGCCGGATTGTTCGACCTGGGTACACTTCGAATGATACTCAAGTGATAATATCTATAAATGATAACTTCCGATGATGTCAGCTAGATTCTATCAATCATTGAATATTATTGGTTTGTCTATCGAATATATAACAATGATGATGTATTAATTAATATTATATAGAACATTATTTTGATACCTTCCAACTGAGATTCGGAACGAAATCGTATAGATGTAGTAATCTATAATTTTTACTCATTTTTTCAACAACAAGATGTTTTGATTACTCATTGTTCTTCTTCAATCTCTTGTTTTTTCTCTTCTAATTCTATATTAACTTTTTTGTACTTGGTAGTGGTTAAATTTTAAAACGTTTTTTATAATGCACAGCCCTGATAAGTGTTTCTATATTAATAAATGACACGAAAGACGTCGGAATATTGAACTGTGCATTTTTTTCAATTATTATACATATATTATTTTTACTTCAATAACAATATAATCGATTGCTGAAAAGCAAAAGTTGAGAAAAACAGATTATATTTGTCTTTCTTCAAGATAAATAAGTCAGTCTGTTTTTTAATTAATTCCCATCTGGATAAAAGTGTTCATAAGCGGACACAAATTGATCTTTTGGTAATAATCCATGCTGACTATAAGAAAAAAAATTTTGAATAAAATTTTTTTGAAAATAAAAACTTTAATTTACCATTCACGTAAGAAACCAGCATGCCACTCACGGATTTGTTCTTCAGTAAAATTTGTATGTGCTTTCAGCACTTCAATAGCTTTTGGTGTAAGAATTGTTCTATTATAGAAAAAAAACCGAATCAATTCAAATAAATTTATAAATAATTATACATACGGATCATGTTTGCTTGATAATTTGTTACCCATGTTTAATTTCGATTTAAATTACGAATAAAAAAATATATTTTGTGGTTAATTAGTTAGATAAAAAGTGTATGTAATGAAATGTAAATCACTCGTCTCCTTTTTTTATATCCTCGATGTTCTCTCTCTTTCTCTCTTCTATATATTTTCGCTCTTACTCTTTATTTTTCTTTCGATGTTTTATAGAGTAGAAACTAGAAAATATCTGAAGCATCTAGAAGAACGTATTTCTTGTCGAGAAGTCAGCAATAGACGAAAGAGTAAAAGAACAGAAAATATTCTGCTTCACATGCTGTTGCTTTTTTATTACAATAATTTGGCAGACGAATAAACAAATCATAGGACCAGTTTACGTCATCAAGGTAGATGCGTAAAAGATGATAGTAACAATAACAGTAAGGATAATGATCGAACAGGTTTTTCTTTCTATTTCATTGTGTCTGAAAATAGACGCATACTGTTTCGCAAGAATTACTGCATATGTTGCTAATCATCATCTATTTTTGATTGACATCTGTTGAAATGAATGAAAGAAAGAAAGAAATATATTTAAGATACAACACTCTATGAACTGAATGAATCATAATTTTTTCCAAATACTAAAATCACTTTGTTCAATTCAGGTACTTTAATAATCGATCTATAAGACATCTAGCGTGTGAATTGATCTTTTCTTACTCGCATTCACGGCCATACCCACACCCTCAAGATTTAGAAATGAAGAATCAAAACAATTCCTTAGTCATACAATTTATATATGGTACAATAATTGTTTATTCAAATTAGTTTATCTGCGTTTGGACACGTCCACTTTTTAAATATTATGTAGATGACTACTGTTGACGATCTTCAATCGTTATTGATTAAATGAGTTTTTTTGGCTAAAATTATATAAACTTCGTTTTTGTTATTTACTCCGTATCTTTGAATATTATTGTGTAAGTACTTGGAAGAACTACATTATCCAACATAATAAAATAAACAATATATAATGTGATCTTCTTTCATCTCAAAAAGTATTATTACTACTTTTTTTCTTTTCGTTTTACTTATCTCGAAATGTGAACAAAACTCGCGTAGGACTACAAAATGCGTTACCATATCAACATAAACTTAGAAATATTGTAAATTATTTGAAAAATAATAGCTTTGTTCCAATTTTTATTATCACTGTACGTTACTAAGCAGTGCCAATTTTTACTTTAAAAGATAGTTCAAAAAATATTCACTACAACTTTTAGTTTATGATTCATTATTGTGAAAACAATCCTTTCTACAAAAATGTAATATAAATTATTCAACTTTTATTCATGACTATTGCTCTTTAAAGTATTCATAGAATCAGGGTCGTAATATGGATATAGCATACATTTTTCTGTCATTTGAGGTAAATTTCGACAGTAGAGAGAGAGGGGATTGTGTTACGTCCCTAAATAAAATAAAATAACTAAGAATAAATTTTAATAATACATTTCAATTTAGAAAATTTCTTCTTGTTCACTTTTTCACATATTGAACACGTATTAAATGGATCATTATTTTTTTTATCGTGATAGAACCTAGTAGGTTGTATTGAATCAAGGCCAATCAATTATTTTATAAAGATATAAACGTGTATTAATGATAGAATCTTTAAATTTCCAGAGAACTATTATCATTGTTCTTTGACTTGTCTGTGTATTAGTCGATACGATATGGATTAGTATGGAGACAGTACAAATTGAAACATAGATGTGTTTTATTTGAACTATTCTTCTTTCGATATATGACTAATTACGGTAGATTAAAACGTTAGCAAGACAAATAAACATAGTTCAGTCATCTATATTGACATATTGGTAACTAACGAATGTTATCATGATTAAATATTAAATAACGTATTTGCTAGTATTAATTTATTATTAATGTATACGTTGCTTAGTTATTTTTTCTGTTATATGTCGATCAAAGAAAGAAGTAAAAAATTGTAAATATCGAGTTCTGTAATTTAAGAAGAAAGTGATTCAACAAAGGTTATGTAAATAAAATAATGAAAGTAACAAGCGTTTTGAAACAAAGTGCACATTTCTTCGTTCTGTAAAGCAAAAATCACAGAACGAAATTTCTCTATTATATTTTATAGTTTTTAAAACTGCTGCCTTATGATTAATATAAGAAAAATTTTAATTACTCTTGTTTACAAAACACATTTGAAAGTATTATCTATAGAAATAATTCATACATCTTCATATTTATTCTAGTATCAGCCAGTTTAATTAAACGACTCATTCATCAAATTCTTCATTTATTGTCAAGAATATTGAATAAATTGATCAAGTACTTAATCATGATTGAATTTTTATGAATGATTTTATATTTTGTATTATAAATTACTTGTAAATATTTCATTATTAAATAACATCTGGCAGATTTTCTCATCGTTACTAAATCGCATCGTGTATTGATATATACATGATAAAAATGAATGGATTTATAGAAATTAAAATTTATCTTATGTCAAAATTCAAGCACCAGTAAACTATGAAGGATATAAAATATAATATTTATGTAAGCTAATTTCATCAACTTTATATATATATATGTTTACTAGAAATTTTCTTAGTACAGTATACGTAGATAAAGTAATTTGAATAAATATGTAAGGTGAGTTGCAAACTTGTCAAATTTTTATACTCATACTGCAGAATATCAAAAGTGAAAAAGAAAACAAAATAATAATCCTATTGATTCATTGATAATATTAGTCAGAGTACGATTTAGAAGTTAAAACAGTAAAATTTTCTTTAATGATACTTATATTATATTTACGTTATAAGAACTTCTCTGATAATTATAACAAAATTAATGTATGAATTATTTTGGAGTATTCAATACTAAACTTCAGTTAAAGATTTCTTACCATCTTATATGATTAAGATAGACTATACTGTATAAACTGAAATCGGTATTGACAATATCTGTAATACCAAAATAACTAATAGTTAATCATGTACATCTTGCGAATCTAGAGGTTGGAGAAGAATATATCAACACCCACACCCTACACTCTGGTATATTGTTGTGAATTTTTGACTGAATTATTTGTGTAAAACTGCTTGCTTTATTCTTTCAAACGCTTCGTTTGTTTCTTTTCGAAGACAGAAATATTCCCAATATCTTTGAGAGAACAGCTATACTTATTAGAACAAAAGAATTTAAGGTGGGAATTAAACCATGAGGGTGAGTTTTGGATCGACCAATTCTTCGTCAAAATCCAAAGGGTAAGATCTACTAGCTACCACGGGTTTGGGTATTATACTAACCTAACTCAGACATCAATACCCATTCACTAATCGATAGAGACATATTTTTACCACATACTGTATATCCAAAAAAAAATTTCTATCACTGAAAATAAAAAAGCCATTAGCATTCTCCTAAGAATTAATATAATTATTCAAATCTTCCTAGAAAAAAAAGTTTTTCCGGGATTGTTGAGATGAGTATCTGCTGTATTTGCATTTGCCACCCTTTTATGATGCAGTAACATACACCACTTCCGATATATATACATAGTTGAATAGAACAACTAAATAACTCCATAATTTTTTTTTATGGGATGTGATACTTCATTTCTGTATCAATATTGCGTATTTATATTGGATTTGATTAAATCAATTTACATTTGAAAATAAGAGAAAATGTCAATAGTTTTATACAATATTTATTTTTATTCAGATTCGTTACAGCACATTTAATTTATTCTATTTTTCTTTTCAGAACTTGACATTGAATTAAAATCCAATAACAATAAAAAGAAACATCGTTTTTTTCCTAACGTGAGTTTTATATCTATCTTATATAAATTGAATATTACAAAGTTTAGTATATATTCCATCTATTCGTATTATAAGATTTTACGATAGAAGAAGCTTAATTTTTTGCTATACTTTTCTTTTCGTCTTCATTCAAACTAACTATTGAAATCGTTATAATTTATTACATTGTAATAGGAATGACAAATAAATAATTTATCTTATTTTATATTCTTTGTTAAAAAATAGCAATAATTATATTTTCTTTATCTGATTCTCATAAACGTTTTCCTATTAATATAAGTTAAAACGCTTCATTTAGTTTTTCTAAAACATAAAGAAATACTGAATGTAACTGTTGTAATAGGAAGTAACAGAAAAAATAAATAAATGTATAAATAATTCTGTATGTAAGAGTTTCATCGAAAACTAAATTACTGAAAAGCAGATGGTAGCTACTGTTCTCTTCGTATATATCACTGTGTGAATTGAGTATTCAAAAAAGTGATTAAAAAGAAAGTCGGCAATCTGTCTCTTCTGTGATATTTATTTTGAGATTAACTTCGGTGATTGTTCTTTCGACGAAGAGGTATACAATTGATTATTCATTAAGCTCGACGACTAAAAGTGAAGTACTTCCTGTAATCAGCGTACAATAATACTAGCTGATTCAAAATTGGACTAACCATCCATCATAATCAACTAGAAGGTTAGCACAAGTTCATAAACAAATATTAACAAGAAAAACTTGAATCTACTGCTGACTTTTATTATGTAAACTTTAGTTCTTATTAATGTGATGCGAAGCAAAGCATTTATATAGTCCTTCACGAGTTTTCTTCCTTTCTTTCTCGACGTACGTATTCAAAGTGGTCATTTTGCGTCATGATTATCAGTAATAGAACATTAGAAAATACTCGTTTAAACGCGAGATTAATACACTAAGATCGATTAGCATTGCATTAGTTAAGACTTAATTCTAATACTTAATACTCTTGGCATTAGTATTAGAGTAATACTAATATGATTCTTCTATACTCGTGCATGTTCAGAATTTTCACAAAATTCTGAACTCGCTATTTCGTTTTTTGTTTGTTAGATAGTCACGATATAGGTGAAATCGTTATGTTGCTCTGTACATCTTAGACGCGGGTAATCGTTTGCAGTGTTTCGCTCGCTAACTAATGACTAATATAGCGAGGAAAAGAAGGAAAATTTACCGTCGTAACTGAACTACTGAAGAAAAGTAAATCGACTGCTATCCTCGTTCTTTAAAAAGAAATATGTGAAAAAGTTTTTTTTCTTTAAAAGAAAAGAAAAAGATTAGTTTACGCCATTCCTTTTTTTTCCATTCAGCAGTAAACTTTTTGCATACAGAACTGAAAATTTCTTTGCGAGTATTATAAATGCTAATATATAAGTAAGGTCTTCTTTTATATAACAAGAAAATGATTTTCTCATTATTATTACCGATATGTCAATGTATTTGGTAATAATAGATTTTATCTAAAAATAAAAAAAATTCTTTCTATTTCTTACTTTTTCCTAACAATTATTGTAGAAATCTATTCAAGCAATAGAATTATTATTAATTGTATAGCTATCTTTGAATCTTTTTCTTTTAGACCGTATTAATTACTTGCATAATTATACATCCTATTTAAACAATGAATCTTTCTCGTCGATTACGACCTCTAGTCTTTTATATTCGTCAACGTCATATTTGGGTATCTATTCTAACAATTATTGGTATTCTAATTTTTCACAAAGAAATCATCTATCAGATATATATACGAACATTTTATATATATCCATATAAAAACTCAATTACTATATGGAGTACTGATTATCATGTTAGGTATATTATGCTTATGTAAGAAAATTTCTTCTTTTATTTCTTTCTTTTTCAGTCCGATTCGTGATGTAAAAAATATTCTTACACCTTTGGATGTCAAATTTCTGGATAAAAGTCTTTCATATAGTTGTTCACAAACAAGAACATGTTATTCTCCTCTTCGTATATTAACACGAAAAAATGCAATGAATCCATCGAGAGATATTGCTTGGGATTTTTATGAATTTTATAAAAATCAAATTGAAATGAATCTTATTGATGCATTTATCTGTTTTCATCCAGTAGGAATGTGTGAATTATATATGCCATTTAATCGAAGTATTATTATTATTGCATCAACACGTTATGAACTTTGGAGATTTCAACCAAAACAATGGAATAAATTAAATGAAAATTTGAAAAAAATTTCTCAAGATCCAAAAAATGTTATTGCTGCTAATAATTTATATGACGCCGAATATATTCGTTATTTTACTGGAATAAATGTAACAGTTTTACCAAGTCTTTGCAATTATACAAATGTTGATTATCAACCGATAAGAAAAGAATTTTTACTTTCTCTTACTCATGAACAAAATTTTAATAAAATATTCAAGGAATTTCTCAATAAATCTTTACAATCCTATGAAAAACTTAATATAAAAATTGTACCAATTAGACAAATTTATCATAATTATAAATATTCTGATTTAGCTAAACATCCAGCCATTGTTTATGTTCCTTATCAAGTTTCAGTGATGAGTTTATTTGAACAATATCGAATGAACATTCCACTTGTATTTCCATCACTTGATCTTTTAACTCGATGGCATGAAGAATATGGTACAGTTAATGAAAAAACTTGGGATCAAACATTATATGGTACATTACCACATGGTTCGCATATTAAAGGTGTTCTATCGGATGTACCTGATCCAAATGATGATCGAAATCGAACATCAATTCGATATTGGTTAAATTTTTCAGATTTTTATCAATGGCCACATATTACATATTATGAATCTACTGATGATCTTGTTCAAAAATTAAGTACAACAAATTTTGATGTAATTAGTAAGAAAATGAAAGAATATAATAAACAAGTTCAGATAAATTTATTGGAGAAATGGACAAAAATATTGAATACTATAAAACGATATTCAAGAAAATTTCAATAATTGTGCTTCTGTGGTATATTTAAATGTTATGTATTTGATAATCTTTTTTTTTATAAACAAGTTTGAGATGTATATATTTGTGTTTTATTAATTAAATACAGTTGATGATGAATTAATAAATCGGAAAGAAAGTCTTGTCATGATTAGAACCGAAACTTAGTCTGTCAAATCTTTAGTAAATGTATCGAGAATTTATTCTGTTATTATTTGTGAACTATGTAAGGAAATTAATTAATAGATATAAAATATTTTCCCAGTTGCCAAGTTTATCAAATCCGGCGCTATGTAACTAATATCATTTTTCTTTCTAACTAAATTTTCTTATTTTATCTATAAGTAATGTATGAATGCGAACTAGTCAATCAACAATTGACTGATTATCATTTATATGCTTCCTCTATTGTTAATTTTCTGCAAAAATATTTAACACAATTTCATAAAGCATTAATAACTTATTCAATTGTTCTTAAACATCTTCATACAAAATCAACTAATCTATTAATAAAAACTAATTTTAATCATCAATTAACAAAACATTTACACGATGGTTTTTTATCATTTATTCAAACATTCGATGATGAATATCATCAATTAGTTCAACGTGCTAAATTTCTAAAAACTATTCATTTAACAATTGAAAAACTTCAACAACAACTTAAATCATCGAAACTTCTAAAACAAAAACATAAATATACTTATCGTATAATACATTTAAATCGTAATAAAAAACGACAATATCTACATCAATTATTTCAACAAACGCGAAAACATGATACATTTGCATTAAATTGGAAAGATAATCTTGATAATATTACATCACAAACAACAAATCTTCTTTGGAGACTTTCTTCATATTCACCGTATAAATTCGATGTACAACTCATGAAAAAATCAACCGAGTCTCTCTCAAATAAACAAGATAATCAATTAACGTCTATAAATGAGTTAGGCTCAGGTGATCAATTACATTCACAATTAATTAAAGAAAATATTCCACTTGCAGTCAAACAAGAACAACAACTACTATCAACTAGTAATAATGCTTTAGTCATATTGAAACAATCTAAACAAAATAGTAATGAAAATCAATCGATTTATTCAACTGATATTGATGAAGCAATGATTGAAAAAAATCGGTTAGATAATGATTTCGTTGATGATGAAGATCTTCAATGGTTAAGCATAGTTACACAAAATAAAATTCAATGGCAAAAAACAAATACATTATCATTATTAACAGATCAAAGTAGTAATGATAGTGAAAGTATTATTAAACGAAATAAAAATAAAATTGAACCAAAAGATTCAGTACATTTATCAGATATTAGTTATACAACAGATTATTATTCACAAAATGAATCAGATTAAAATCTATGACAAAAATATAAAATATAAAACTAACTGTTAAGATATAATAAACAATAGTTTATATTTTTATTACTACAGAAGTAGAAGAATTTGAATAAATACTATTTCCTGTACGATTAATAATCTAAAAAATTTTGCTTGATTTACTAGATAAATAAAGAACTTTTTATATAGTATACTTTTACTCATGGAAATATATTTATAATCATTGTAATAATAACTTGGCAGATTTAAGAATTCGTTTCTTTAGAGTAATTAGCCTTTTATTTTACTTCTAAGCATATGTGAATACCACAAAACTATTCTAAAGAATCTTTTATGTCTGTGGAGTTGCATTGTTTAATAGAAAAAGTTCCCTTTACAATAATAACAATAAATCTGGTGCAAATTCGTTCCCTCACTTTCGTCCCTAGCTAATCATTGAAGAGATATTAATAAGAAGTTTAATAGTTGTTCTACATTTATTTTATTGTAAGCGACATGAGCAGTAGTATAGAAAAACATTACATAGAAAATCCAAGATAATTAGGAAAAAATAAATGACTGAAAAAGACCTAAATATGAAGAAAAGAAGAAAGATAAGTATCCAGCACGAATGATTCATACTATAACAATACTGTTAAAAGATCATATCGATTAGTTAAAGAGATAATTCTGATGGAACGAATTCATTTGGGACGTATATGGTCCTAGTTGGGGTATTCCTCTATGTAATATATTATAGTCATAAATAAAAAAATACTTGATCAATATTAGTCTATTATGTGAAGTAGCTGTTGTTTTCTATCTAGATTAAAAACAATTTATTATTCATTTTCTATTATATCTTATCATTATGAGACTTGATAAAGTCTTTAATAATCCCAGTATATTTCTATTCATTAATCAAAGAATTGGTACATAGCATATTTTTATCAATTTATTTTCGAATTATATTTGCGCTCGATGAGTTACGTTATACAATCGCTAAAAATCTCATATATGTTATCATACAAATACCCATGTATATAATAGCAAAATATCTAGATTATTCTTTTTGAGATAAGTACATTTACAAGTCTTTTTTCCATCGATTTGCTCATTTAATGGTAAACGTGACATATATTACAAACGTCTTTGATTAAATATGCTTTTTCAGTCTATAGAGATTATTCATCTGTATTTAATAAATAAAAGATGAATAATGACTTCAAACATTGAATATATTCATAATAAAAGACGAGAGAATTATTCATCAAATAATTTTAAACTAAATAAATAACTAATATATGACGTTAACATCATCTTTCTACCAAAGTTTCTTCTTTATATATGATTATGTTTTAATCGATCAACATTTTCGAAAAAAATATGTCTTGGTATCATATAGGTACTATAAAAACTAATTTGTAAAATAAGACTATAAGACACACCCACCCTTAAAAGAAGAACTCATTCAATTCTTTTTCGTTGCCGATAATAAAACACTTCTGTACATTTATTTCATAAATAAAAACTAATATCATATAGTATATGATTCATCATATCTTAAAGATTCAAAAAAAAACATGTAAGTATGCTATTATTAATAGGTTATACACTGAGTGTAATATGATAGCATGTAAAATACATGTATTATCGAAATATAATTGATCCAACTTAATACCAGTCTTAAAAATATATATATATATAATATGACAACTATTGATCCAGGTTTATAATTAAGTTGGTATATTTCAACATAGTGACTGGTCTCGGAAAAATTGTACGATGTACTAAAATATATAAATTCGTGATTGTATTTTTTCTAATGAGAAAAAGAAAACTCACTGATTGTTTGACAATTGATAATATAAAAGCAAAAGCAGAATAGTTTATTGTTAATTATCAAGTAAACAAATATGATACAATTAAAAATGTCATGAATGACGAGAAAGTAATAGAACATATCATAATAGCAATAAATATTAAACGTTTTTGATAATCATCCATTATTTCACAGCACTAGTTTTCGATATGAACAATTTTTTTTTCAAACAAAATCATATTATAAAAAAAGGACGAAGAAGAAGAAGAAAAAGTCTTGTTTAAATATTATTAAAATTTTATAATAAAGTAATAGACTATTCATTTATAATAATCATAGTTTGCAGAAAAAAATCAAATGAATAATTAATGAAGAATAATCCAAAGAGCATGAATAATACCAATTATCCAAAAACCAACAATAGTTAAAACTAAATTAATTAGTACTTGACTATTACAAGCTTTTTGATGTAAATAAACAGCTAGTGGTGGAATAAAAATAGCAAGAATAACCAAAAGAATATCGGCCATGTTCAGTAACAATTTCGATTAATATGTGCTTATGTTTATGTGGAAAAGAAGAAAGAGAAATTAGAATGAATGTATATTATTACTCGATTTTTATTATAAGAAAGAGGAAGAGAAAGAGAAAGAGCGAGGAGACATTCTTTCTTAAAGAGAGAACAAGATGTAAAATAACTCAGTATACGTAAACGTGTTACCTTGCCGTTTAGTCAACTTACAAAGTAATGAAAATACTATAGACATACGATTATTTAACAAACGAAATATGACCTAGGTGAGCAAATAATAGTTAATGAAAGTGAAATAAACCGTCGAGATATGCATGTTGAATTTGTTTGAATACGATTTTGCAAGGATTAGATTTCATAAATTCTATCCTCCATATTTAAGAGTTCATTAAGCTACTGTTTTCCAAACAACTAACAAAAAATTTTTATCAAAAGAAAAATATAATGTGTGCGGGAAAAATAATCATGTTTTTCGCATGCAGGCAGCCAATTGCTTAAATCTCAAAAACAAACGAAGAATAGTAAGACCTTTGCATTAAGATTATCAAAAAGAAAACTGTCGGTACAATAACTTGATAGATTTTATTACAAAATATCATCGAAAATGAATGTCATTTTACTATATAATATAGACAATGTTTTTATATCAAAAGTACAAGGATTAAATTTAATATTTAGAAACTATGTGAAAGTAATATTTTACTTATTGACTGAATTGTTTACATTCGCTTTTATACAAACAAAATAGCGATTTATCCTATTTTTTAAAATTTTGTACCCATATAGTAGAAATTCGTATCAAAAAAATAATTAGAGCTTGATTGTTTATTTTTCGCGACTAAACAACAATACAAAAAAAAATAAATATCCTAATTAATTGTAAAAAAATACAGCAAACACACCGCATGATTATGAACAATATAGAAAATAATTTTTTTTATCGAAACTGTTCAATCATATCTTCAGTTTCTTTCGTCATATATCCAAAATACACTAATACTTTCAAGAATTTAAATTTAAAATATCGTTCCACTCGATCTTTGCTATAAATAAATAAATAAATAATATTTTTGAGAAAATAAATATATGTTAATTTACAAGAGTATCAGATCAAAAAGAACTAATTCTAAATGAGCATAAATACGATCTTTGAATAATCGATGTGCTTCTTCGTTTTTTCGAGCACCCAAAATAGCACTAAAATGATAAAATATGATATTAATCAAGTGTACATATTTCGATAAATTCCAAGAGACAAACTTTACATTTTTGTCTCAATCAGATAAGGAAATTCTTTAACTAACCTTCGAGCCATAATCGTATGTCGATCAATAAGATTTCCATGATCACGAATAGTCGATCGTATTTGATTTAAATTTCTATAAAAGAAACAAATAATTTATTATATTTTTGAAATTCTTTCTCTTAAATAAAATTTATTAGTTTACTACAAGATTTAGTAGTCTTTTTCCTACAAAAAAAAACTACCTGAGAACAAGAATAAGCTTGTCTGGTAATTGTTTGAATACATGAATAACTTCATCCATTGTTTCTCGAGCTTTTAATCGTATTCGAGCCATTTCCTCTTTAGTTACTTTCTGTCGAAATGATACACTACCATGTCGAGAACGTAATGATTGCATAATAAGAATTTCCGCAAATAAACGATGATACTTTTCTATATACAATTTCAAAAAAAAAACAACAAATTCGAATTGTTCTCACATCATACTCATATACACACATAGATACAGATAATTATTTCGAAAGAAAATGATGACGACAACTAACCTTAATATCATTAATAATGGTCGAGGCATATCATAAATAGTTCGTAAGACACTATCTTGAATATCATTGAAAATAACGGAAAAATCTCTGCGTATCGCCATTTTTTGTTGTGGACTTAGATTAAATAATTCTCTTTCAGTCTACGCGAATAAAATAAATAGAATAAAAACAAAAGAAACTTAAGGAAAAGGAATTTATCTTACAGGAAGACGAATTTTTCCTTGTTCACGTGCATCTTTTTGTTCATCTGGTGACATACGATCCCATACTTCAGGTAATATTGCTAAATCATGTATAGGTCGATGAATTGGACGCATCGAAAGAACAGTAGCAAATGTTAAATAATCTTTAGCTATATTAAGAAGAAAATAATTAGGTTTTTATCGTCATCGTTTTCTTTATTTATTAAAGTTCTGTATGTGTATATGTTTTATTTAAAAAAAACATCATAGACTTACCTTGTACACCGAGTGCTGTTGAATATTGTTTCATTTTAATTTCATCTTTAAGTATAATAGCTTTCCATAATTGACATAAAGCTTCACGATCTTTTGGACTAATTGTTACATATAGACCATGATCAAGTAAAACAATTTGAACATTTGATTTTGTTGGAGTTTTAGGATCTCTTCTTACATAAACATTTCCTGGCTAAAAAGATATATTCTATTAATTAATTTAGACAGAAATTATTAGATCATACATGAGGATCGGCATGTACAAAACCCGAATGAAAAATTTGAAAAGCCATAGCTTCAACAAGTTTTGTATCAATTTCTTTTATAGATAAATTTGATTCTTTAAGTTTGTCCATATCAGATATTTTAATACCATCAATAAATTCCATAACAAGTACTCGATTTGTTGTATACTCCCAAAATACTTTTGGAACATAGATAAATTTTAAAAATGGAGATAATTGAGCATAACAACGATCAGCATTTTCACCTTCTAATTTAAAATTAAGTTCACGTTCTAAATTACTTTTCACTGAATCTATCATCCAACCGAATTCAAATTTTGGAAAGATTTTGCCAAGAGCATATAATATCATACGAATAGTTAAAATATCACCGGTAAAACGATCTTGTAAATCAATATATTGCAGTTTAACAGCAACACGTTCATTAGTCGTTTTAAGACGACCTTCATAAACTTCAGCAAGAGATGCTGCAGCAATAGGTTCAGGAGAAAGATAAGAAAATAAATCAGATACTTGACAACCAAATTCTTCATCAATTAATTGACTAACCTAAAGATGAAATTTGAATATTAAGATACAACTATATATATATATATTTAACCTCATTTCGTTGTCGTCTTAAAGCTTTATCTTGTAAACATCGAAGACCATCGGTATATTCTTTTGGTAAAATATGATCAGCACTAACCATACCTTGACCCATTTTAACATATAAACCACCATTTTCAATACATCCTTGAGCTATTCTATCTGCAGCTCGAGAATGACATTCTTTGAGTTTTGTTTCATATTCTGGTGATGTTTCCGGGAATTTCCAAAAATGATATTTATAATCAATTGTAATGAGTAAACCAATTTGAAATGATCTAATATAAATAAAATTCTATTCAATTACTATGAATAAAACAAAAATTAAATAAAAACCGAAATCCACGTTGAAAACCTTCAAATGTAACTCGTATCTGACGTCGTTCTTTTGGTGTAAGATAATAATAATAATAAAGACTACCACCACCCAAAATCAATCCATTAGCAATCAGATAATTGCGTAAAAAACGACGACTACGATGTTTGACACCAAAACGATCGCCGATAGATCGAACAGCACTTGTATTACTATTTGATGTTAAATTTCTTGTTATCAAACGATATGCAGATGATGGCAAAGACGATGAACATGCTCGGAAAACATTTGTATACATAAATCTAGAATATTAATATATAGAAGTTATCGGATTTTGCTTGAGATCTTCGAAAATATATATGTATTCATATAGAACTGTACAATAATAATTCTATTTTATCAAGACATAAAAACAAATCCTAATATAATATCACAAGAAAGCAAATACCGGACAAAAAACAAATATATCAATTAATATTTCACACGTTTGGCTCGTCCAATTGTACTAGTATCTGTTGCAGGCGTATCAACATCTTCATCCATTGCAGAATCATCATCAGTTGCTGAACGTTTATAGCTTCTAGTAGGTAATTGAATTGGATGCATAATTTTGTCTACTCGACTAGTATTCTCTTGATCATTTGCTAACCATGGATGTTCAAGTACAGCAGACATTGTCAATCGTTTATTTGGATCAACACACATCATTTGTCGTATAAGATCTTTGGCTGGTTCGGATACATCTGACCAAAATTCAGCAGGAAATGTATAAAGACCTTTAAGAATTTGTTCAGTTAATGGAGGTGAATCAGGTGATTCACTAAATGGTGGATAACCAACTAAACATATATATAAAATAACACCTAAACTCCATACGTCAATTTTATTTGTATAACTTCCTTCACCACGATTTACTAATACTTCGGGAGCTATATATAGAAAAATAGAATAATACATTAATAGATATACTTCGTTGCTTTTTGTTTTTACCGAGATAATTTGGTGTACCACAAAATGTTTTCATTAAACTTGTTTCATTAATTAATCTTGATAAACCAAAATCAGTTATTTTAATTAATGTTTCATTTGTATCTGGTAATGTTAAAAGAATATTTTCAGGTTTTAAATCACGATGTGTTATAGAACGTTCATGTAAATATTGAACACCAATACACATTTGTCGAAAAAGAAATTTACTTGTTGCTTCATCAAATTGACCATGTGCAACTATACGATCAAATAATTCTCCACCTTCGACTAATTCAAGTATGATATAAAGAGCATCATCTGTTTCATAAACATCATGTATACGAATAATACATGGATGATTTACACCTTGTAAAATCGTACATTCACTTTTTATCTGTTGATTAAATACAAGAGCTTGTGGACCCATATGTGTAAAAGTCTTTTTAGCAATTATTTTCATAGCAAAACGATCACAGGTACCTAAAAAAATAGAGAATAAACCATGTTTATAATCAATATTTACTATATCAAACAATGCTATTAATAGAACTCTAACTGAAATTTATCTAAATAGTAATAAACTCGAGTACGACAAATCTTACTATATATATCTGCGTTTAAGATTTATTTTATTTTACCTCGAACAAAACATAGTTTCACTTCTCCATAAGCACCACGTCCAATTTGTTTTGAAACAATATATTTTTCACTAACAATAGCTGGAATCGATGAATCTTCATTTGCATTTGTATCAATATAAACATAAACACGATTCGTTTTTGATGCTAATTCAATTTCGGCATTATTTTCTAAAATATGTTTTTTATTTTTTCCTATTTTTTCTCCATTTACATATGTTCCATTTGATGATAAATCAAGTATATACGCATAATTTTTGATATCATCACGAATGATTTTAAAATGTGTTGATGAATAAGCAAGAAAATATTTTGATGTTTGTTGTTCACTAGAATTAAATACTACTGAACATGTTTTACCACGACCAAATGAATATTCTTTTTCTATTAAATTAATTGATGGAAAAATTTTATTGATTGTTAATAATCGACCCCAAACATTAGATTCAGGAATACTATCTCCATCATCTGCCGAACCATCTTCAATACCATCACATTTCTGTGTCGGTACGCTTAAACTCTAAACGAAAAAAAAGAACCTTGGAAGAAAATATATTTAATCAACTAACCATAGGTACTGGTTCACTCATATAGTGAATAATAATCTTAGTACATCAAAGAGTATTTCTCATAATGCTTTGAAATGATTCAATACAACTCAAGGTTACTGCATTATTTTGTAAAAGACGGATGCAGATGAAGACCAATGAAAAGATACTAATAAAATTACAAGTGACATCTGTTTATTGTAGACTTTGCTGAATACATCGTATACTATTATGGAACTAGAAGATATTATAAATGAAAAACAAGATAGAACACAGAAAACGATAATAATAAATAGACTAAATAGATAACGTATAGACGCGTCATAGGTGTTGTTTTGGTCTTGAGAAAAAGTTTATACAGAGTATACATTTGAATTAGTGGTTTGATGTTAAATTCCGCATTAATACAGTTATTGCAATATTATTAGCTATAACATTGGGTTCCTAGTTATATCCACAGATCCCTCTTCACATATTGTTTGCTTACTTTCGTACTTAAACGAATAGGAACATTTAGATATATATCATTGATAACTGATAAGAACTTCTATATATAGATAGACCCTTAGTATCTACTCAACATGTAATACTTATTTCTTAATACAAGGATCTATGAACAAAGATTGAACTCCGATTTTAAGATAAAATTTAATTGTAGAATATTTTAATTTATTTTTAAGATGTTTTGTAACATTAGTCAAATGATCTTGAATAAAAAACTATTTATTTTGATCATTGAGAATCTTTTCGATAGCTTGAATTACACGAGCATTACGTGGATCAATCGTAAGAGCACCAGGATCAAGATGATTGCAAGCATATGCATAAGTCAATTGATGTGGAGGGAAAGCAAAAGCACAACTACCACCATAACCTATTTTAAATATAATAAAATATACTTTCCATATGCCAATGAGAATGAACAGAAGAGAAAAGAATACGTACCAGAAAAACCAAATACACCCTCACGAAATATTTGAAAGCATTCGCCATATATTTGAAAACCACCTTTTGAAAAAGTTGATGGCTTATTATACCAACTTAGATCAGGTTCATCTGCTGGTGTTACATTTTCAATTGCTTCTTGCAATGTTTTCTCACCTATCAAACGTTTTTGTTTTATTCCATTTTCGTTAATATCACCAATAAGTAAAGAATAGATACGAGCTAAGGATCGAGCATTTGTAATGCCATTGGCACCTGGTAATTCTGCACGATGAACTCGAGATTCATTGAATACTATATATGGTGTGTTAAGAGGAAAAGCACCACTCAATGATAATGCTTTATCAGTTTGTGAAACTTTTGGACGTACACTAGTTGTATCACCCTAAAACATATAAACCATTGTCTATTTTATTACATTAATCTACTTACCGGTTTTCGAACAACAGGAGAAATACGTGTTTCAATATCGTCATTTGGTATACCTACATAAAATTCACTATCTAATTCATCACGAACAAATTGACCATATGAACGATGCTGAGGATCAACACGATGAATTAATTCACCAGCAGCATATCCAAGTGTATGAGCATGATATCCATGTGCTGTTCCAGGTTCCCAATGAGGTTTTTGCGCAGCTATTAATGAAACCATTCGAGACCAATTGCAACCATCTTCAACAGTAAGATTATCTTCATCGACACATGCTATACCAGCTCGATGTGCTAATAGTTCACTAATCGTAATATTCTTCAATGAAATAAAATATGTTATACGTATTCACAAATAATAATTTTTACCTGTTTTCCATTAGCAGCAAATTCAGGCCAGTAGCGTGCAACAGGTGCATTATAATCAAGCAATTGTCTTTCTACACATAATGCTACAGCTGCAGATATTATGCCTTTTGAAGTAGAAAATACTAATTGTAATGTATCTGATGTATAAGGTTCTTTTTTTGTTTCTGGATCTTTCCAACCACTAGTTAAATCAACAACACAATTTCCTCGATAATAAATGCATAGACTTGCACCAATATCAAGTCCATCGTCTAAATTTTGCTTAAAAACAGAGCGTATATTCTCCCAACCACTTGTTACATGTCCATACACGTGATCCATGTTTTCGTTATGATTAGACATCGTTGACATAATCGAATGAATACTTAATACATTAGGTTTTTTTTCTTCTTTTCTCTCACCATATCGTTGTACAGTTATAACTCAGGTCTCTTCTTTTTTCTTAATGAGTCAGTAATAAAGGTAAAAGCATAACTTATTACTATTTGCCCTCAATTGACTGATTACAATCATATATTCATCTGTATTGTATCAAAATATGCCATAATAACAAGTTTTAACTACTATTCAATTTTAAAAAATGTAATATATGTAGTTCTTTACAGTTCGTAGTTATATATCTGCTCGTAAATTCAAAACATTCGAAATGAATAGCTTTTTTTTTCTTTATCTTTTCGTTTCGTTTACTTATCATTAAAAATAAAAAGACATATTATCCAACTATGAATATCAATGAATCATTCGTTCTTTTAAAAACATACAAAATCATCATGAATCGTTCTATTTCTTCGAATAACAACAATATAATAAAGGATCAATAGATATTATCCATTTGTTTTTCCTTTCATTCGTTCTTTTGAATCTATCATATATTATAACTATACATAATAACAAAGGAAAAAGAAGAATAGTCATGAACAGTACTATATCGATATTGCCACATAATCATCATCATTCAATTGAATCTATTCAGCATCCAACAGCTATAAATGAATTAACACCATCACATTATGATACAGCTGGAGCTGCAATATTTATAGTTGTTGTTCTATCATGGTATGCCATAGGTATTGTTTGTATGTTAGGAATGCAAATTCGTGCTCGTGCTGATACAATTGAAGAATGTGCAAGACGTCGAACGAAATTATTTATTCAAACTCTTCGTGATCAAACTCAAACAAAAGAAATTCTTGGTAGAATTTATATATTTTATAAAAAAACATAAAAATTCATTCGATTATTTTTAGAAGAACTTGTCGATAAACAAAAACGTGATAAACTTTGGGATATTTATTTAGGAAAAACAACTAATGATAAATTAAGACGTGCTGATACTCGTCGTATAAGAAATATTAAAAAACAATTAGCTGTTATTAATCGTGATCGTATATATATGAATGATACAATAGTAACACCAGTTGTAAATAATTTTATTCGTCGTACATCCGATCCACAAGCAATAATGATACCAAATCTTTCATTAATTGAAAGCCAACCACGTATTCGACGTCGATCATCATTAGATTTGCAAATCATTGAACGATGGAAATCATTGGCTAATCAAAGTAAAACACATGAACAATTACCATGGTCTATTAGAAAATTACTTATATCTCGTCATTTTCGACGATATGGTAAACGTGTACCAGATAGATCTGAACAAATTAATAAACCGGCAACTGATTTATCATTAAATCAAAGACATTTAGGATGTATTGATGATGAACAACGTTATCTATTACCATTTGATAAAAGAGTTAACAATAATAATAATAATTTACATCGAATAACAGAAGAAACAAATGATCGATTAAATCCTTATACAACTTATTTTCATTTGCCTATAAATGAAAATGTTCAATCAAACCTGCAAAATATACCACTTGTAACTATTAATTCTGATCATTCGATCATTCAATTGTGTTCTGATGAATCTCAATGTTAATTTTTTTAGAAAAAAAAATCGAATTTATATCGTTGTATATTTTTTTTCAAATAATAAATCAAATAAAATTTGTTATGTCAGATAATTAAATATATATAATCACAAAATAAGTGATGAAGTAAAATCTCCATTTTAAAAGAACTAATATTTAAGTACGAAGTATTACAATTTAGCTGACTGTGTTGTTCCAGAAACATATATATCTTATAAAGTAGATGTCACTCTACGTTACTTATATAACTTCTAACCATGATCGATTGGTTCTTGTTCATTTCTAATAGAATATTAGATGAAGCAATGCCGAGTACAATTGCAAAGCGAATATTAAGAGTTATATTATATACTCTGAACTCTATTTTAGTTTTTATTTGAATATATTTCGATAGAATAAATAAGAAAATATATATATAGATTACATAACATAAACATAGTAATATTTTATTTTGTAATATATGATTACATAATAATGTGTTTGTAGATTATGTCTATTCATTTATTTAAACTACAACGATATTTAACTCATGTTGATCAATACTTTAGACATCCGCCTGCATTAAATAAATGGTATCAAGCTTATGTAAATTCTAATGAAATTTTCTTATAAATTTAATTTTGATGTTTTTTTTTCTCTCAGAGATTATTCAGCAATGTATCATCTCCGAATGCTCATCGTTTGAATACAGTTGTACCAAAAGGTTTTGAAAAATATTTCCCAGGTAGTGGAGGTAAAGGACCAAAACCAAAAGATCCAGGTATTTCTCCCTTTAATATTCTTATAATATATTTATTATGATCATTTTCTTAAGCTGGAGATCAACGTCCACCAGTTCCACCAAAAGAACCTGCACCTGGTGGAGTACCACCGGAAGGTGGTCAACCAAAACAACCAACACCAGGTCCAAGTCCTGGTGGTCGTGGAGCACCACCTCCACCATCATCAGGCGGAAGTGGTGGTGGTAGTAATAGTTGGCGTGGTTTAGAATTTAAAATTACACCAGGAGGTCAAAATAATTTTTTTAATAATCGTACAGCTCTTGCTGTTCTTGTTGGCGGTGGTATTGCTGCTTATTTTACATATACTAATAGTTTATATAGAGAAATAACATGGAAAGATTTTGTTTCAACTTATTTACTTAAAGGATATGTAAGTTATACTAGTTTCAAGAGAATAAAGTCATTATTTTTATGAAATTATATTTTAGGTAGATAAACTTGAAGTTGTTAATAAAAAATGGGTTCGTGTCAAACTTCTTCCTGGTGCACCAGATTCAATAGTAAAATATTGACCAATAATTTTGTTAAATATTTTAATTGGTTTGTTTCTTTTCTTTATTAAATAGCATGATCTATGGTTTGCTATTGGATCAGTTGATTCATTTGAACGTAATCTTGAAAATGTTCAAACAGAACATGGAATTGATGCTGGCGGTTATGTACCTGTTTTATATAAAACTGAAGCCGATGCAAGTACATTATTGAGCGCTGCATCATGGTTATTACCAATTCTTTTCTTTGTTTGGTTATTTCGACGAGCTGGTTCTGCAATGGGACAAATGGGTGGAATGGGAGGAAAAGGATCTGGTGGAATGTTTGGTATGGGAAACACAACAGCAAGAATCGTTAAAGAGAATGTTGGTACATCATTTAAGTAAGATTTTATTAATCTCTAATACGTATCAGAATATATTATTAACAATATATAGAGATGTAGCTGGATGTGAAGAAGCTAAAATTGAAATTATGGAATTTGTAAACTTTTTAAAAAATCCGCAACAATATCTTGACCTTGGAGCTAAAATTCCTAAAGTGAGTTATTAAATCCTGAGTGATTTTCTTATTAACTTATTATTTCATATAGGGAGCTATTCTTACTGGACCACCAGGCACAGGTATTTTATTAAAATCATTGAAATAACTATCTATGATGCGTATGTATTTAGGAAAGACATTATTAGCAAAAGCAACAGCTGGTGAAGCTGGTGTTCCATTTATCACTGTTTCTGGTTCAGAATTCCTTGAAATGTTTGTTGGTGTTGGTCCATCTCGAGTATGTTTTTTTTCTTTTTCATAACTTCTTATTTTCGAAAGTAAATTTAGGTTCGTGATATGTTTGCATTAGCACGTAAAAATTCTCCATGTATTTTATTTATCGATGAAATTGATGCTATTGGACGAAAACGAGGTGGTCGTTCAATGGGTGGACATAGTGAACAAGAAAATACTTTAAATCAGCTTTTAGTTGAATTAGATGGTTTTGCACCGCAACAAAATGTTATTGTTTTAGCAGCAACAAATCGAATGGATATACTTGATTCAGCTTTATTACGTCCTGGTAGATTTGATCGACAAGTATTCGTTGGTTTACCGGATATTAAAGGACGTGCTAGTGTATTTAAAGTACATTTACAACGTTTAAAAACTTCATTAGATAAAGACGCTTTAGCAAGAAAATTATCAGCAAGAACACCCGGATTTTCAGGTGCCGATGTTTCAAATGTTTGTAATGAAGCAGCACTTATTGCTGCACGAGATTTAAATACTGAAATTGAATTGAAACATTTCGAAGCCGCTATTGATCGAGTTATTGCTGGTTAGTTTTGAAATAATATATTCGGTAGATTTTTTTCTAATATAATTTGATTATTATAGGTATGGAAAAGAAATCTCAAGTCTTACAACCAGAAGAAAAAAAACAAGTTGCATATCATGAAGCTGGCCATGCCGTATGTGGTTGGTTTTTACAACATGCTGATCCTATTCTTAAAGTATCAATTATTCCTCGTGGTAAAGCACTTGGTTATGCTCAATATATGCCTAAGGAACAATATCTTTATACCAAAGACCAAGTAAATATCGATTTTTATATGACGAAAAAAATAAAGTTTTTATCATGATTTAGTTATTTGATCGAATGTGTGTTATGCTTGGTGGTCGTGTTGCTGAAATAATATTTTTTAATCGGATATCAACAGGTGCACAAGATGATTTACAAAAAATAACTCAATCAGCTTATTCACAAGTTGTACGTTTTGGTATGTCAGATAAAGTTGGCTACGTATCATTTGATATGCCACAACAAGGTGATATGGTTTTTGATAAACCATATTCCGAAGCAACTGCACAATTGATTGATGATGAAGTTCGAGGAATAATTAAACGTGCTTTTGATTTTACACTTGAATTATTAACATCAAAAAAAGAGTTAATTGATAAAGTTGCATTACGATTATTAGAAAATGAAATTTTATCACGTGATGATATGATTGAATTAGTTGGACCACGACCATTTAAAGAAAAAACGACTTATGAAGAATTTGTTGAAGGAACAGGTAAAACATTAATTTAATGTTTGTTGCTTTCTTATTTCTTTCTATTATTAATTTAGGTTCATTGGAAGAAGATACATCATTACCAAAAGGCTTACAAGATTGGAATAAAGATCGACAAAAGGAAAAAGATGCTAAAGACGCTAAAGAAAAACAAAAAGCATCGAACTGATAGGAATAGGAATACAATAGAATAAATTTTCTTTTTTTGTTCTGTTATGCTTGTGTTTTTTTATGAATATTTGTCCTTACTTTGTCCATTCTTCTTGTAGATATATATTCTCATAAAGATATACAAGACTTCATATAATATCGAAGTTAATTATACACATTTATAAAAATCTATCCTTATCAGAGAATAAACAAGAGAAATGCAGAAAAAAATTATTTATTCTAATTTCAGATAATTTTTACGAATAAAATTAATCTTATTTACAAAAAGATGTTTTTTGGATAAAAAAAAACTAAAAGTACACATGCCAACATGTGTAAATTCACATGTTGTTATTTTTGTTAACATATTCAAGATAAGCTAATCTCTTTCCTCTATTAATAGATTAGACGGAAGACATAATGAAACTTTAACATGCATATAGATTTTTTTTTTCATATAAGTAATATTTTTTTTTTAAACTGACGGAAAATTCTTCACTTGTCCCTTTCTTTTTCAGAATAACAGCAGAGAATTTTTTTATCAATACAAACAAGTAGTTCCCTTCGATATTATCATGGATTCAACGCCAAACAATCCTAAACTATCATTTATACAACGTTATCATATTTTACTTAAAACCCATTATTTTTTATTCTTTTCCGCATTTGGTGTTATATTTCCAATATTAAGTTTAATTCTTCGTTCTCATGGTCTTTCCAATACAGAAATTTCTATTTCAAATATATTTCTCCCATTCTCAGTCTTTCTAACAAGTCCATTAATCGGTTTTATTGCTGACAAAACTCGTCGATATCTTTTAACATTTAATATTTTACTCATTATTGTTACTATTACTGTTACCGGTATATTTTTCTTACCATATATTAAATCTCGTCATATTATTGGTAATTTACATTATGAGAAACAATCTGAATATATGCTCGATTTTTGTGCTAGTCAAGAAGTAGCAACGAAATGTTCATCAAGAGTTGAATGTGGTTGTTCTTATCGAGCATTTTGTAAAAAAGATAATTTGACGTTCAATTTTATATTTACAATGAATAATCATAGTGTAAAGCATGATTTACACGAAAGTGAACGATCTATATGTGATATTAAATACCATGTTCCAATTGAAAAAACTTTATTGAATGAAACGTTAGGTTAGTTCATTTTTTATTTTTAATTTACAGGAAAAAAACAGAAAGATTTTCTATTAAGATATACAACAATCAGTGAATGTAAAATGTCATATAATTTGCTCAATTCCTTATTTTTGTCATGGTTCACGATATCCTAAACAAATGATGTATATTATTTTTTATCCAATTTTATATGTTCTCGGTACAAATCTACTTTCAATTGGAAATGTTATTGGTGCATCGATTGGTTTTGCTAGTTTATCCCGTGCAGATTTATTTGGAAAACAACGTGTATGGGGTACAGTTGGTTTTGGTATAACAGCATTTGCTGCTAGTCGTATTTATGAATACTTTCATAGTGAATATGTTTACATAATTATGTTTGACATTATTGCTATTTTGACAATTATTATAACAAGTTTTGTTCCAATACGGCCAGTTGAAATGACAGACAATAATAAAAAGAAACAAAAATTTGATTTATCGATTCTTATATCATTATTGAAAAAGGTTGATGTGCTTGTATTTCTTTCTACAACATTTGTTTGGGGAATGAGTTTTGGTTGCATGTTTCCGGTAAAATATGCGACATATTTACAAAATATTCTTGTAATTTATTTTTAGTATCTTGGTTTATATATTGATGAAATTGCTCCATGTCATTCACGTTCAATTATTGGTTGGATGTTATTAGTATCATCTATATCAGAAGTTATCGCATTTTATTTTGCTCGAAGAGTAATTAAATTTTGTGGTATTAATTTATCATCGGTTCTCATCTTTCTTGCATTTGCTTTACGATTTTTTGGATATTATTTTATAAGAAAACCTTATTGGTATTTACCAGTCGAAACGATGCATTTTTTTAATTTTGGTATTCTTTATGTATTAATTGCTGAACGAGCAGATACAATCGGTATATATAAATATAATTATCAATTAAAATACAATGCTTTTTTTTCTGTAATTATTTATCATAGCACCACCTGGACTTTCCGGTACACTTCAAGGTATTGCTCATGGAATTACACATGGTTTAGGTAAGATTATAAGGAATTAAAACAAATGAATTTGTTTCGATTTTAATTCAATGCAAGCCGACTACAAATCTTTGACCCAGGAATGAGACATACGTAGGTTTGTAGAAAAAAACTTTCTTTACAAACCTACATGTCTCATTCCTGGGTCAAATTTTACTATGAAATTTGTAGTTACCTTTTCTTTCGTGTAATGAATACTAAATACTTTCGTTATTCAATGATTGATTTATGAGTTTATATTCTATGCACTGCATTAGAATTATTAATATCGGAATAGCTTAGTTATATATATTTCTATTAATAATAAATAATACTCTAAATAATATATTTATCTAGATGATCTGATCGATTTTGACGTAAATAAAATAATTGATTTGTTTCTATCTAATTGATTTGATCGAAATTTTTCTCTTTTGATTGATGTCAAGATTTGACATGCTTATTTATTTAATGATTTATAAAGAAATAATAGAAAAGCATGCATCATTTAATTCTAGGTCGGGGTGTTGGTTTGCTTGTCTCATCCTTTATCTATATTTTTATTGAAGAACGTCTTCTCTTTCTTGTTTTTGGCATCTTAAATATGATTGCTGCTATTATTTATTCAATCTATTTTTTATTATCAAAAAAATCCGCAGGCAAAAATATGACTTCATCATCAACTAATAATAATGTTGTGCTCGAAAAGGGTAACTTCATTTATTGATTGAACAGGGGGAAAAGTAAACTAAATTTCGATATACATTTAGATGAAGAAACTCTACCGTCAATACCGATGATAACAATACAAGATGAACAGTAAATGAATCTCATTCGAAAATAGTATATTTATTCTTCTGAATCAGTAGATCTTTAACAGAAATAAATTATTTTAAAAGCTTTGTAGTTTTTCATTTATTAGTTTCAACGTATGACAGCTTTATATATAATCTGAATAAATAGGTGGCATATTTATTCGATACTTTTCACGTATTTAAAAAGTTGCTATTTACTTTGTACTTTAGTATTAATATATAGATTTCTAAAGAATAATAATAATAATAATAATATATTATAAAAAGTGCATGTAAGTGTAGACCTATACTTTGCGAATAATTTAACAGAATGATTAACATGAAAAACCTCTAATATAATTTATTCAAGCATAAATAGTATTTCTTTTTTTTTACATAAACTTGAAATTGTTAGTATTTTTTTAGCCATGAAAAGAATAACATCGTCTTTCTTTATTAGACCTATAATCTTTTTTGAAAATTAATTCTAACATTTTGCTTTGTATGCTACGACCTTGAGTTAAGGTCAAATACTAATTGTAAAACAAGATTAGGAAAACATAAGAATGAACTATCTATGATTATTTCTACCTAGAATTGTCTGTAAATTATTCAATGTAAGATCGATCTTTTTTTATGATTCATTGCTTTTACACATAATGATTATATATCAGCACATCTGTTGAGTAATTTTTGATTTTATATTGTTAGTAGTTTCCTTTATGTCTAGATACACATTTACTGAATTACTTCTTTAATGTAGAGCAAATATAAGAAAGTACATTACATTCTTCTTTTCCCTATAGAATTTAATTGAAGTGTGAATATTACACATAGTAAAAAATGTTATCAATTTTAAAAAAGTTCTATTACTATAGAAATATGTCTATTCAAATATACATCTGTAAATAACGTAAATAATTAAATTTGACAATATATATTTTTCCTTTTTTGTTCTCTCACAACGTGAGAAGTTAATCCTTTTTACAGGGGACGGAAGGAACAAATATAATGCTGTTCTGTGTGCTTTTCTTCTTTTTTTTTTATATTCTATATATGCTTATAGAAAATGTTTGTCAAGAAAGAAAAGCAACAAGGACATGTTCCGTTTTTATTTTTATTATGAATTTTCAATAAACCATGATGTCTGTTTTCATTATATAGTGGGATAATATCTAAAAATTGCCATAGATTAGCAACATTATTTAATAATCAAAACTAAAAAAGTTTTAATCAATCGATGAGTATTTTCCTTTTATTGCTAAATGAAAGTAAGAGATTATTAATAAGTTTAATATTACTTAACTGAAACTATAATTTAGAGTTAAATTGATTCTGACGTTATTATATATAGATAAAAAACCCACGGGAAGTATTTTTTTATAGTGAGAAGTTGAACGCATTTTCTTTGTTTGTATGAGAGGACTTATTTAAATGAGATTCTCTTTATTATGCATTTCTATTCACTTCATACTTACGTTCTTTTATTTTCTTAGATAGTTATTATCTTATCAAACGTCAAAAACACAAGTGAATTAGAAATTCTATGCATGCAAAATTTTTAAGATCGAGATTCATTAGTAATCTTCTCGTTTTTTTGGCCCTATCTACGCGCACATTAAAACTGAGTTTTTCAGATAGTATCACTATATTTGCCTTTGTGAGACGATTCTTTTTTCTTGTTTTTTGACCTTGATACTTCTTTTTTTCCCTTTATAAACAGCGCAATACACAACGGTTTCTTCTTTCTCTCTCTCGTGTTCTTTCTTTTCTTCGAATAGAATAGCGAGTGACATAGAACGATCATTGTTGTGTAACTTCTCATTGCTTTTTTCCGTCTCATTTCTACTACAATTTTGCACATGCATGTACTCTATGATTACTAGATAGAAAAGTATTATATTAAATAATGAATATATATTACAAAAGATAAAAGAAAAAAAAAGAAGCGTTTCATAAATTTCTTTTCAGATGTGAGCAAAAGTTTTTTTCAAAAATAGACAAAAAACAAAAAACATGGAATCTCCATCGATGTTAGCGCCAACAACTGATGTTGTTGGTCCATCACCATCTGTACCGTTTTTTCAACGATACTATTTTTTATTAAAAGCACATTATTTTCTATTTTTTTCGGCATTTGGTGTACTTTATCCAATATTAAATATAACATTACGTGGTCGTGGTTTATCAAATACAGAAATCTCATATATTAATTTAATTATTCCATTTTTAGTCTTTTTTACAAATCCATTAGTAGGTTTTCTTGCTGATCATTCTCGTCGTTATTTATTAACGTTTAATATTATTCTCGGTATTACAACAATTTTATATGGTCTCATGTTTATTTTACCATCTGTAAAAACACATCATATTGAAGCTAATATGATTAATGATTATAAATTAGGTCGTGTATTAGATTTTTGTGCCAGTAAAGAAGTCGCAACATTATGTTCAGCAAGATCTGATTGTGGATGTTCTTATCAATCATATTGTAAAGCAGACAATTTCTTATATAATTTTACATTTACAATGAAATCAACAGATACTCGTCAGACTGTTTTAAATCCAGAGCCAGCAACATGTGGAATTGAATATCGAATACCAGTTGATGAATATATACGAAATTATACTTCAGAATTATCTATATTTAATGGAAACAATTCTTCATTCGCCGCTTGTGAAATAACTTGTACAACAGCACATTTTTGTCATGGAGAACGTTATAGTCAACAAATACAGTATATTCTTCTTTATTCAATTTTATTTATTATCGGTACAAATCTTCTTTCAAATACAATAACAATTGGTGCATCAATTGGTTTTGCTACTTTACCACGAGCAGATAAATTTGGCGAACAACGTGTTTTCGGTACAATTGGTTTTGGTATATCAGCATTGACTGCTAGCCGTCTTTATAAAATATTTGATACAGATATCGTTTATATAATTATGTTTGCTATCTTAACAACACTATGCATTTGTATTACATGTTTTATTCGTATTCCACCTCAAAAAGATAAGGAAAATACGACAAGTGATGATATAAAAACTAATGAAGAAATTCTACTTGATTTTTCTGAACAAGAAAACAAAAAGAAACCTGTATCTCAATTTAAATTAGCTGCACTCATTCCATTACTTAAAAAGATTGATGTTATTATTTTTTTTTCACTTACATTCATTTGGGGAATGTCTTATGGAGGTCTTGATCCAGTACGTATATTTTCATTTATATATATACTTGAGAAAGTTTACTTCCGAATTAATAAGTACTCTTTGCTCGGAAAGTCAATTATATAAACTTCTATCATTGTGACTGAGAAATAAAAATGATTTTTATTTATTTTTTTAGTACGTATTTTTATATATTGATGAAATCGCTCCATGTGCATCACATTTAATTGTTGGTTGGATGTCATTAATATCTGCAGCATCTGAAGTTATTGCTCTTTTCGTTGCTGGAAAAATGCTTAAAATATTAGGTACAAATGCTTCTTCAGTCATTATTTTAATTGCATTTTCAATTCGATTCGGTGGCTATTATTATATACGTCGTCCATATTTTCTTTTATTCATGGAAACAATGCATTATTTTAATTTTGGTATTCTTTATGTACTTATTGCTCAAAAAGCAGATGCAATTGGTATTTAGAAAAGAAAAAAAAAAACGTTTTTTATTTATTCTATTATTTTTCTTTAGCACCACCGGGACTCGCTGGTACATTACAAGGTGTTGTTTATGGTGTTTCTTTTGGTTTAGGTATAAAATTTTATTTCGTATTATTCTAATTTACATGTATAATTATATATAGGTCGTGGAGTTGGTTTAATTATTTCGTCATTTATTTATACACGTCTTCAATCTCGGCCATTATTTCTATTTTTTTCATTATTTAATGCCGCCGCTGCCATCGTTTATGGTATTCTATTTATTGTAACTAGAGAAAAGCCACAGAGCACTAATCGAACTAACAATAATCCCAATGTACCAAAAATTGTTATTGATCCTGGTAAATATAAACCTCTTTCTATGTATACATACATATATATATTTTAAAATCTTATAATTTCTTCTTCATAGATACAAACGTCAATGAAGAGTTATTAAATTCATCATCAACAGATAAAGTAGAAAATAAGTTTAATGAACAGTAGAAAAGCAGGAAACAAATTCCGTTTCGTTTAACATGACAGAACAAAATTTTTTGGATTCAGATATCTCATATTAGTGATGATAATAAGCAAAACTAGTGTTTTTGTTGTTCTTTTTCTTCTCATTATTATTTATGTTTTGTTATTTTCTTTTGACTCTGTATTCTTCAATGGATGTTATATCTGTGTTATTCGAATCTCATGACTAAAACAGAATATTTAGCGACAAAAATTGAAACAGACATGAAAGAGTGATATATTATTAGGTTTTTTCTCTTTGACTTTCTTTTTTTTATGAATAAATTTTTTTTTCAGTTTATCATTAATGAACTACTTACTACTTTGTCTAAGAGTTTTGATATAACGAGAAGACTAACATAAAATGTATTCTCCGAGTAGTACGAACATAATTGAAATAGACGCTTTCTGATTATGAGTTCATCAGATATTCGATACTTTCTCAAATAGAAATCGATCTGACATGAGTTTCCACAGAGAATATAATTCTCTTGTGATATAATTTTCAAATTGCTATTGTATCCAAAATTTGATTTAGAAATTATAGTGAATTATCGATTTTGACTATAATCTGTATTGGTTAGAAACTAATTAGACATTTATTAGTTATTATCTCACTGAATTATTAGATTGCTTTTCCGTTTCCTTGAAATATTATCTCTCTGCTTCGTACTCAATTTTTAAAATGAACTATAAGTGCAAAGACATTATATCATTGCAACATATGCTATGGACGTTTTCTTTTATCTGCTCATCATTTCCATAAATTTAATAATATACACAAATTAAGAAATAGAAAGCTTACTGGCGTATATATATAATTAGAAGCTAAACAAAGAATCTCTATAAAAACCACCAGAGAAGACTTATTATGTACTCTTGACTGAATTTTATTATTATTATTAATAATATGTATCAAAAAAAAATTTGTTGCGTTTGAAAGAAAAAAATAAAACCTTATCTCATTGCACAATAAATGGATAGTAGGAATTAAAAGTTCAATAAAAATAATTTCACATTATTGCTTTTCTGGATCAATTGATTTAATTGAATCATTCGTAATTTCAAAAATCCATTTCTTTTTTGGTGATGTAACACCATCAAATGGTTTCTTTAATTCTATAGTTGTTCCATCGAATTTTTTTACTCGAATACAATCAACACCTTTACGATATTTTGTATTATGTTCTCCATGTTCAAATTCTTTTTCATCAATTAATTGTTCTTCACCTTTAGCTAATTCAATATCAGCTATTTCATGATGATGACCTTCAAAACCAGTAAATTCAATTTGAATAGTTACTTCAGCATCAGAATTATTTTTAAGTAAACATGAATAAATAATAGCTGGCGCACGGACACCGCAACTAGGATTTGTACTCATCTAGAAAAAATACAATTGAATATTAATGTTAAAAAAACACATTCTCCGAATAATATATTAAATAAAAAAAAAGTAAATATCACAGATCACTATGTTTGAGATTCTAGAAAAGAAAAAAAAAGTAATTTTAAATAAAATCAATCTTTGTTATCGTTTTATTTTACCTCTGAATGATGACAGATACAATTATCTTTTTTTATATGACTTTCATCTTTTTCATGTTGAACTAATTCCATATCTGACGAAACTTCAACAGGTGATACTAAACGTTTAGCATATTCCTGTAAAACTTGTACATGATAACAAAGAATATGATTAGGAAGAAGATTATGTTGAGTAAATCGTTGTGCATGTTTAACTATTTCTTGAGCCTTCATACAGAAAAAAGAAGGATTATATTGAAAAGTTCAATTATTTCATACTTCATCATCATGAGTTTTTGCCCATTGAATTTTTTCAATTAAATCTGATAGATCTTTTTTTACTGGAATATAATGTTTATTCGGTATAAGATCTCGATAAAAATATTCATAATATGAACTTGTTTGTTTAAATATTAAACTATCACCAGCTAATAAATAAGGAAATCGATATGAAGCTACAGTTCCATCAATAGATATTTGATATTTATAATCAAAAAATTTCGGCATTGGAATATATTCAGCAAATGGTTCAAATTCTGACATTTGATCACGAAAGAAAAACATGCGTGTTAAATTAGCATCAATTAAATCAGGAAATTTTTTTGATAAACGAACAAGATCAAGACGCTCCTTAAAGAGAAGATATTTTATTTTTTAATTTAAATAGATTAATTACTTGACAACTATCACGCCCACGAAAGAATCCTTTTGAAATCTTTTTTGACCAAGATAAATGACGTACAGTACTCATAGCAAATATGTCAAGTGTTGTTCGAGAAAGCATTTGAAGTGTAGCTTCTGTAATTTCATAAGTCGGTAGAATAATATCATGTGTCTGTTTTGATCCACACCATGATATAATTGGTAGTGGATCATTATCATTATTACTTAATGGATAATCACCCAAATTCATTAAAAATTCAACATCGGGTAAAATAACCTAAATCAATATTTCATAAAAATTATTTCTTCAATAGTATTTTACTTTTCGTGAAAGTGATAATAATATTGCATCAGAAAACATTTGAAATGCAACATGTTCACCATAACATTTTCGATAAATCTAAATAAAATAAAACGATATTTTTCATATTTGATTCATTTATTTTACTTGATTATTTTTAATAACATAATGACATAATGCATAAGTTTTAGGATGTTGAAAATATTTTTCTTTTGCTTTATTAAGAACTTTTATCATATCAATTTGTTTAAATAATTTAAAATCTTCATGTAATTGAGATAATGATGATGATGAACATTGTAATGAATTTAACCATTGTGTTAGATTAGTTTCTGGACAATAACAACCATCCGAATATATATAACCATTAACAACATGTACTTTATCTTGCTTTCCAAATCGAATAAATATACGAAGATCTTTAACGGATTCGTAAAGACGATATCGAAATAAATAAGTTCCATCATTAAGATCATCAACTTTACGATAACTATGAACTGATAATTGATCAGATACACGAGTTAAATGAAATTCTATACGATCACTAGATTGTGTTGAATAATTAAGTTTTTGTCCTTTTGAATCATATGCTTGTAAATAAAAATAACGAACAGGTACTTGAAATGATGCTTCAAGACCTGGCCCATAAAGACGAACTTCAGTAGATATACAAGTTATTGAGATTAAAAGTAAATATAGCACCAAGAACATTTTTGTTCTCAAAAAGTACGTACAAACTATATGAATGGAAGAAAAAAGAAATACTTTGAATGATTCGTCAATATGCAATGCTGACTAAGCAAAATAAAGTACAAAGAGGGCACCACAAGGTAGCATTTCTTTTGAGTTCTGTAGATATTCGCCAAAATTAATAATACTATATTTATTTAATCTGAAACCTTTTCGAATCGACATAAATAAATAGTTAGTTTCCATATGAACGACGTTGTTAAGTTTAAAAAAGAATAATATTTGTACATTGAATTGATTACATTTACTCAGATTGAAACATGATGTAGAAAAAAAGTGTTTATTCATATTTCTTAGGACAATATGCGAAAGATATTTTGGTAAAAGTAAAATATTTTTTTAATAAAACAAAAGGTATATTACAAAATCGATATCAACAAGAATAATATAGTGATACAATGAATAAAAAAATTTTTAGTTAATTTCATTACTTTATTACACATATCTTGATCTGAACAAAAACAAATTTCTTTTGATTTGTCACTTTCTCGTTTTATTTTTCGACATCCATTTGATGTGATGATTCCCATTTCACCTGCACGTATTAATTCATCAGCTGAAAAACAACGACGACTTGATCGAAGTGATAATAGAGCTTCATCTTTTAATTTTAATCGTTCTCGACTACTATTACCTAATCGTTTCATATCAATTATATCAACTGATTTCCAACATTTGCCATCACAATCTTCTAATGTATGTTCAGTAAAATCAAATTGTGCTTGACAATCTGAAATAATAATAATATATAAAACAAATAAACTAAATAATTATACATACTATCTAGGAATACTCCAGGTTCTTCAACTGATTGAATCATAGTTTCACATTTCCAACATTGTAATGACGATTCACGTGATTTAATTCGATAAAAAATATTAAAAATATATACTATGAATAGTAACCATTTACTTGTCATCTTCCATTCATCAACAAAAGGTCAAACTGTGATGACAATATATAGAAAAGAACAGATTGTGCATAGATTTGTTTACTCAAGAACGGTATTTATCTTTTTTCTTCTTCTCTTTTTCGTGTATTTGATCATTCGTTTGTTTCTTCTATCGATTAAATCCAAAGGTGACAAGCTCATCCGTTCATCCTTCTTTTTTTCTCTTCTATTCTCTCTATTATTGACAAAAGCTTCTGGTCATCTACTTTGTATTCATTAAAATAAAAAAAAAATTCAATGAGTTTTTATTAAATAAAAATTTAACAAAAAATACAAATTCAAAACAAAAATTATCATTCATATTTCATTCTATATAATCTATCCTCTGTATCCCACATATGTATTGATCAACCTGTTACGCTTTCGATAAATATAAGATCCATAGTTCACTGATAGACGAGATATAGCTATCGAGATGCAATAAGTTCATAACAACAAGCACGTCATTATAAACTTGATATTCTAGTCAATAGATATCATACTTATTTTAATACTGAAATTCGTGGAAATACTAATCCTTCTTGAATCAGATAAACTTTATTAATAATCTTTTATTATTGTTATTTTCGATTGTCACTTTCATCAAAACAGTACAAGTAAATACGACATTACCAAATTATTATTTGCATTCTTAATCTTCTTTCGTACAAATGTTAGATATCAGCATTATTTTTGCAATAGTAACTTTTTCTTTTACATGTTATTATTTTTTTCTTCTACTTTATCAAACACGAGTAAAACATGATATCAATCGAACCTGGTCATATTGAAAAAGATTTCAAAATATATAAAAATATTAAATATATCAGATTTATTCTACCTATCTTCGGACTTATAATAGTACTTGGAGCGATTATTCTTGGTCTTTCTATTATTACACTTGTTAAAGTTAATAACAAAGTTGATAGAATCATAGACAAGCACCATGAATCAACATCAAATGCAAAAGCACGTCAACAATCATTAAACTCGATTTTATCGGAATCAGTTCGTATTGAAGACGCAATGAGTCATCTTAATGAACTACAACGCATTGCGAAAGTTTCCAATGGAACTCGTGCTATTAATACATCTGGATTCAATGCAACATTAGATTATATTACAAACTATCTTACTGCTAATACTAATTATAAAGTAACAAAGTCATTTTTCTTTTTGAGAGACTTTGCACTTGCAAACAATCCAGTTTTAATATCATCGGTTAATGGTATTACAAAAAATTATACTTATTCTACTCAAATTTCTGTTGCTGATTTCTACCACGCTGTATATTCTACATCAATCAATACTAACGAGTTTACTCAACTAACAGCTATACCAAATGTAGGTTGTTCGGATGATGATTGGCAAAAAGCAAATCCATCTCCAGCCGGTCGCGTAGCATTAGTCAAACGTGGAACCTGTCCCTTTCGAGAGAAAATTGCACTTGCTACGAAATACAATGTAAAAGCTGTATTATTATATAATGATGGTACATCACCCGATCGTGTTTCACCTATAGAAATTACCCTTGCGCAAGAGAACAGTATGCCTACTCTCTTTCTCTCATTCACTGTTGGTCAAGCACTTTTAAATAGTACTCAAAATACACGAAGCAATACTCGTATGAAATTACTTATTGAAGCGAAAAATATACCTGACTATCCTGTAGGAAATATTTGTGCTGATACACCTTCAGGTGATCCCACTC